CAAGACGGGTGTTGAGAATTTTATTGAGGCTAGAGTTTTTCTAGAATTTATGTTTTCAACAGATCTTTACCTAATTTATCATTGTGACAGTACCTTGCGATACGTTGTGATGCACTACCCTCCAATGTTTTGTCCACAGGTGTCGTGATCATTAACTTTCCTTTCATTTGCTTCTACGCAGTGGGATATTTGTATTAGGTCAAGTTGCTGTCCTGTTACTTCTTCACGCCAGTAGTGTGACAGAAAGAATATTCAAACAATATACACATAACATAGCAATGGCCAATTGGCTGACTGTAAGGTCATGGCCTGAACAAACAATTTTTTTATATAGTCAAGTGATGCTAAAGCAGAGCACAAATGTGTAATAAGTTAATAGATTAAAAAACTGATTCATGTGATGCATTACGCAGAGCACAGATAAAAATACTGATTCAATGATTAAAATTATAGCTGTGAGTGTCAATAAATTACTGTCATAAAAAAGGAACGATGTACACGTGATCTGAGATACCAATATCTCAATATCAAAAGTATAGTGTCTAGAAACATTCATAGTCCAGTACCGCCAGTAGTGTGACTGTACGAAGCATCTTTCCTAATTCCACGAAATCCATGAAATGTTCTTACTTAGAGCTTCATGTGATAGCTTCCACAATTCTTTCTGCAACAGAACCAATGGGTTGTGACACAATTGCACATATAAGTTTACCTTATGGAACGGGAGGCTTCCCTACTTCCACACCCTCAATAATCCCTGATTGGTGTGTGTGTGCAGTCCAGTTGATAGTGGCCAAGGTAGCAGTTAGGGTTGAAGTTGGCTTAAACGACATTTATTGTTTCTCTATTTAGTACCTTAAATTTTCAATGTTTGCAACACATCATTTTCTACAATACCACCAGTACATAGCAAACATCAGTCAAATATGCAATTTCGTTTAGTACTTGGTATTCGCCCTGTAACTTTCTTTTATAAAGAAATCAGATTGTGCTAAGTAACTAAATGGAGTTGTTCCACTTCAGATCGATCGTAGCATGACTGATAAAGACGTTGTTGGCCCTAGTCCTTTTGAAAAATATCTATCAGAACAACATGATCTAGAAAAAGAGAACAGACCTTTACAGCCAACTGAATTGACCACGAGCACCCCTTACCCAACGAAAAGAGCACTTAGTTTTGGTGGCTTTGAAAGAGCAGCAAAAAAACACTGCAATAGCACTGACCCATCTAGCAGTAAACTGAGCAGGTCTCTTCCTTTAGCTGATAAGAAACGTTTGCATTCCTTGAAAATTATTGAAATAAAGGATGTTGAAAGAAGACTGGCTATGATAAAAGTTAAGAATGTTAAAAGAGTAAGCTCGTGTGTAAAAGCTGCCATCAGTAAAAGTTTCATACGCATGACAGGATCAGTGAGGCTGGATATGAATTGTAAGGTACACAGAGGTCTTCTGAGATGTGGTCACATGTGCACTGTCACCCTAACTGATGTACTGTACCAACCTGACTTTGTGGGCATACAACCGAACACTTTACCAAGACTAGCCACCGTATTTTGTCCTTATTTCAAGAACGGTTTTTGTCCTGATGGCTGGGCATTTGTAACAGGAATGTGCAAGGGAAAGCCACATTTTGATTGGACCGGTCGAAGCGTGAACCATTGTAAGAAGTGTGATTCAACTTTTGGGGAGTGTACAGACGACTACAGATCTACTCACTGTCCTGAATGTGGTGAGCATTACTCTTCCTCTAGCTGCTCTAATTGTTATCCTGACACAGTTGTGGGTTCTGATTCTGACCATTCTCTAAACTCTACTGATACTCTAATACTTTAACCCTGGCAACGTAAACTCTACTGATACTCTAGTACTTTAACCCTGGCAATGTAAACTCTACTGATACTCTAATACTTTAACCCTGGCAACGTACACCTTATTATTTGTTGTTTAGTATAGTATATATAGTACTTGGTTACCCAAATTGAATTTTACGTGTTTGTTAATAAATGAATTTGTTTTTAATTTGATTTTTGTTTTGTTTTTTAATTCTTTTATAGTAGTGAAGATAAAGAAGTTTCCTAGTTGTTGCAAAATACGACTTAGTTTCATGAGCCATGAAGGTTGTTAGTTGTTATTTAATTTTTGTAGTTTTTATTTCATATTCTTGTAAATTTTAACATCAGTTAAATTTTTAAAACATCAGTTTTAACATCAGTTATATGTTAAAGGATTAGTTAGTTTGTTAATTATTAGTTTTCAATTATAATACTCTATAAATTCCCGTTTTCTTGATTGATTCGCATTATACATTGCTTTGTACAATCACCATACTCACAAACTAGGAAAGTATAATTATCAAACATGTCAATCTTACAAATGTCAACAATCCTAAAATAATTTAGAACCTAAATGTGATCCTTTGTAAGCAGGGGTCGACCGAGGGCAGGATTTTCGACCGAGGCCGAGGCCGAGGAAAATACAGTTAGTTAAGACCGAGGCCGAGGACAACCGAGGTTTCTTTTTTTGACCGAGGCCGAGGCCGAGGCCGAGGAGTGCAAATTTTGACCGAGGCCGAGGCCGAGGCCGAGGAATTTTGGCAGAAAAATTGTTGGGAAAAAGGGCATTGTTTATTAGGAAAAGCGCACTGTACCTAATCAGATTGTACTGTGTACTATACTGTGTACACACGTTACAATCATTATGAAGGGGCAAGTTCGCCAAGAGTCAGGAGTGGGCATGCTAATAAGCAGAGCTATCCGAGGTACCGCGACAATTGACCCCCCGACAATTGACCCCCGACAATTGACCCCCCGACAATTGACCCCCCGACAATTGACCCCTATGTAATTACACTGGGGTCAATTGTCGCGAAATCTAGGGTTTAGTACGACAATTGACCCCCCGACAATTGACCCCCATGTAATTACACTGGGGTCAATTGATCGGGTCCTGGGTCAGGGTTAGGGTTAGGGTTAGGGTTAGGGTTAGGGTCCTGGGTCAGGGTTAGGGTTAGGGTTAGGGTTACGGTTAGGGTCCTGGGTCAGGGTCAGGGTTAGGGTCAGGGTCAGGGTCAGGGTCAGGGTCAGGGTCAGGGTCAGGGTCAGGGTCAGGGTCAGGGTCAGGGTCAGGGTCAGGGTCCTGGGTCCTGGGTCTTGGGTCCTGGGTCCTGGGTCAGGGTCAAGGTCAGCCGTGGGTCAATTGTCGGGGGGTAAATTGTCGGGGGTCAATTGTCGGGGGGTCAATTGTCGGGGGGTCAATTGTCGCCAACCCCTATCCGAACCTTGCTGAGCGTTCAAGGAAATATCTATCTGCGCCGGCGAGCTCAGCAGCACCAGAGAGATTGTTTTCTACAGCAGGGCACATCCTGAAGTTAAATCGCCTCAGCCTTAAGCCAACAAACTTTGAGGGGTGCTTGTTTCTCAAAAAGAACATCGGAACATTTGGGGACAACTTCGGCCCCTGTCCAAATGAATTTGAAGCCCCAAATAAAGAGGACTGTCCCCCTTCTTCTGAGCTGTGCACAGAAGATTATTCTGATTCAGAGTGCTCAGATATTGTCATTTCATCAGACGATGAATCTTAGACTATGATATTTTTAGTTTTGTGTCCTGGTCAATTGGTCGTTTTATTTTCAATTTTACAAATTCGTTTACATTAACCTCACAAACCTTACAAAAATCCTCGGTCAAATCCTCGGTAAAATCGTCAAATTTCGCCGAGGCCGAGGAATTTCGAATCTATTTTTGACCGAGGCCGAGGCGAACCGAGGAATTGTCCTCCTGACCGAGGCCGAGGCCGAGGCCGAGGAAAAATCGCCATTCCTCGGTAAAACCGAGGCCGAGGCCGAGGACTCGGTCGACCCTTGTTTGTAAGATTATATGTCCCAAAAGTCAAATTGACTATTACTCAAGTATAAAGTCGAACAATTTACTCCAATAACCACGGTCACTAGCAAGTTCTCTCAAATGAAGAATATCATTTATTTAGAATATATATTCGCATTTATCCACACTATATATATATTCTAAATAACTGATAAAATTATATTCCACACAAAGCATGAAATTGTGCTGTATATGAGTGGTGATTTCGCTCTGAGAATCAGGGTCAGTAGCTCAATTGGTAGAGCAAGAGACGCGAAATCTCGAGGTTCTGGGATCATTCCCCAGTTGTCCCTAGTTTTTCAGAGTTAATCATCACATATAGACAGCATGAGAGTAGGCCTGGCCATCTCGAAGTGAAGAATATCATCATACGACTCAAGCAAGATGAAACGCTTCCAGAGGTCAACCTTCAGGTGGTGTAGGAGGTTACGTCTGTGAGCCCGGCCCCAAGTCTACCAACTTCACTACACATCTCGACAGCAAAACACAGCGCAGATTGAGCTGGTGATCTTTCATCGCTCCTCAGTATGTGTCCTAGCATCTTCCACCTAGATAACTCAGCACGCTCAGACATAGGGGTAGAATTACTCTGTTTGTAGAGGGTATCTTTGGACATCATACTGCGTGGCCAGCTGACATTCATGATCTTTCTGAGGTAGTTACGGTGACATGCATCTATTTTGTCCCAGTACGATTTAGGCATTCCCCAGCAACTAGAGTTATACATGAGGATAGATACTACTTGGGCCTCATAGACCTTCAGCTTCTTCTGTAGGGGGATCTTACTCTGGCACCAGACCTTCTTGAAGTTCTGGAATGCTACATTGGCTAACATGATTCTTCTGGTGACATCTTTCCTACTTTCTAGCAGAGAACCCAATAACTTGCTACTGCACCATTATAAGTATAATGATAGTTGATATCCGACCTTAAAACATAAGTTGTGTCATTCATCTGTCCAAGAACACTAAGCGACATTGTAATTCAGCCGATTTGAAAAAGACTTAAAATTGAGATTATTACCGTGTTGAGTGCTTGTAAAAATTTAATTTCTGTGTCGATAAATCCTTATTTTCGTGTTTTATTTCCATATTATAAACTAACCCACTTTCTGATTAGAATGGCTCCTCAAATGGAGATGAGTGTGGGCCTGGAGAAGGGCCACAAAGTCACCAAACTTCCCAAGCGGGCAAAACCTTCCCAGCGAAAAGGACACAGATCAAAGAGAGTTAAATTCATCAGAGATGTTATCCGAGAGGTTTGTAGTTTTTTACTTTTTTTTTTTTTTTACTACTTACTACTATGCTATCGGTCCTATGTTATCGGTCCTATGTTAAGCTAATAGTAATATATCCAACAACCAGGTATCTGGATTCTCCCCATACGAGAAGCGAGTTATGGAGCTTCTGAAGGTTAACCGAGACAAGAGGGCCCTCAAATTCTGCAAACAGAGACTCGGAACACACAAGAGAGGCAAGAGGAAGAGGGAAGAGATGGTTCTGTCTCTCCAGCAGATGAGAAAAGCCCAGGCAGCCAAAGAATGAATAACTTATTTCTGTTTTTATCTAATGCCGAGTTTTCTTGTTTTTTTGTGTCCTGAACGTTCAAGTTCAATGAAAAATTATAAAATTGGTATGCTTACTTGTTGATACTTGCAGCATGATAATTTTTTTGGCATGATAATTTTTTTGGCGAACTTTGGGAAAGTCCCCCAGGTTTCCTGAAGTTCCCCAAAAAAGTTCCCCAAAATTCCCCAAAGTTCCCCTTGGACTTTTCATTTCATAAAATTATGCAGTATGCTAATCATCCGAAAGTTTTGTGAAAACTTGCACCGTGTTATTGGCAATATACATGATTGGAAACATTAAGTGTAATTTTTTTTCATCTATAATTTTACCACCATAATGAATCTTAAATTTCCTGGGCGTGATTGAGGTGTTGGGCAATATTTAATCTTTCCGTAATTTCAGATTTTTTGTAATATTCATGACAAAATTCGTACAATTTTAGCCCAGAATATGTTATCGACAGAAAGGCTTCCTCAAGCAGTTGTTACTATAAAGGATTCCTGTGGCAGACAGATTAACTCTAGCTCATTCTCATTTAATACTAAAAATGTTGAGCAACAAATTAAGAAACTCTACAAGTTAACGTTGGTAAGTGATCATTGTTTATAATGTTGTATGAACGAATGTTCATTGAACTGCGAATTTGATTACAAAGTACAGTATTCGAATGAATTCTTTGCAATATCTGATTTCTGAAGTGGACAAATTTCGGACTTTTACCATGGTGAATCAATACTAACTTAACTCTTTTGATAAGGAGAATGCCAAGATGATACTACTGAAAAACGAGAGTCAGGTATCATTTGATATTTTCGACCTGAAACAGACAAAGAGTTCCACCCCTCTTATTCCTGATCGACCTAGTAATGGATCTGACGAACTCTTCTCGGTGAGGATTTTTGCTCTTTTAAAGTAATAAAGGGTATAAAGTAGCTATTATTGTTGAACATTAAAAACCCGTAAGAAGTGCAATTATTCAGTGTGGTGAACTATATTCCTCTCCAGTCTGATTTAAGTCGTCCAGATATGGGAAGTCTAGAACTGCAGAGCCATGGTCAGGCTACAGACGACATGGACACCCAACCTCCCCTTCTATACATGGACTCAAGGCTAGCAGACCAGGCTATACATCATGTATTGGAGGAGGTTTCTGAGGACGATGATGAACCGGTCAGTTTCAATCTACTTCTTCTCACTGTAATGAAATATTTGGGAACAATTGATTTTTGGGGGTTTTCCAATGATTAAAAATTAAAATAATGGATACCTTAAAGTCACTTATAAGTAATTATCGACAGAGTCAGCAATGTTCTGCAAGCTCCTGCGGCACGATATTAAACTCATTGGGAATTGACCATGGACGGAATGAGAAAGCATTTGGCGGAATCTTGCAATGTACCCCTACGGAGCCAATCGACCCTAGCCCTGAGATGTTTAGAGGTACGTCCTTTCAGACGTAGGAAATTCTTTGGATAGTTTCTCTCATAACACACAGAATATAGATATCACATTTAAAAGTTTCCCAAAGTTGAATACCTCTAAAAAACAGCCGTACTTGTACGTATATTTTGATTTTATTTTTTTAATGTATATATTTTTGTATATAATATCTTATTCCTAAACGTGGTATTCCCTTAGATCTAAAGTTCGTGTTGACATGCGAAGTAGAGAGATCACATGACAGCTTGGTGGGGTTTCGTAAGGAGCATTACACCAAGCGCCTTGTAGCAGGAGGAGGTTTGTAACTCTCTCCCGGTTTTTCTGAATCTATCAATTTGTTTCCAATATTTAGATAGTTTTCTGAATCTTTATCAAGTTAAGCTGTGGGAGCTATATTTATTAATACAAAGGATACCCATATTTTATATTTTAATCCACTCATCTTTGCACATTGCAGGTATAGTTTATGATGAGATACCAAGGGATGTGAAGAACACGATTCTCATATCCAACGAGCACTGCCAAACATCCAAATACTTCCATGCTCTGTTGTTAGGTTCGTGATAGTTTGGGTTTAAAATTTTGTTCTTCATTACTAAACTTTCAACGAGATCTTGTTTAGTATATATTCACAATGAACTTCTGTTTACCCAGTTTCTATTAGAGAATTCTATAGCATATTTGAATCTATCAGGTATTCCGTGCGTATCTCACGAGTGGATAGAAGACTGTGTGAACAACAACCGAACATACGAGGAGTGCAGAATTAATAGGATTCAGAGAACACTTTACCTTCACCGAGGTTAGCTTCCCTTCTATTTAAAATTTGAATATCAGAAAACTTATCAGATCCCGTAATAGAAATATCAACTGAGTGCTTGATCAATAAAGTTTTGTAGTAAGTATAGCGGCCGTAGAAAAATAGAATTAGTTAAGAACCAACCAGTTCTATGTGAACGACCCCTTAAATTTTGTGTTTCAGGTAGAGATCTGGTAACAGAAAAGGTAGTCCGCCAGGATAAAGACATAAAAGAGCCTCTAAAACCATTTAAAAGGCAGATAGTTTACCTACAAGGTTCTAAGAAGTTTAAAGAATCCTGGACTGAACTGGTTGAGACTGGGGGTGGGGAGGCTATCAAGGCATGGTTCAGAAGTAAGTCTTAAAATAATTGTTAGTGGGCAGCACCCAAGATGCTTGATACTTTGATAATTCCTGGATCTAATCACTTTCTTTAAATATTGAACTAGGTAAAAACATATCCACTTAAACACCGATGTAAACAGAATCTAACCTGTTGTCACCATCAGATACCAGCGAGTTATCTCTACCTACCATAGTCGCCTCTGACTGTACCTCCAGACCTTCGAAGACAACTGTAAACTTTAACGTGCCTATTGTTAATCAAGATTGGCTAAAGCAATGTGTAATTCTTGGAAAGCTTGCTAACATTGATCCCTTCAAGCAAAACTAACAGGTTAATTTGCAATTTTGGTGGTGTACTTTATGTTCTATAATGAATGATTGATTTCACTTTATTTGCTAAATTTTATTTCAATACCTTTAGCTGCTGCGATTCTACACAAAGTTTATAAAAAAGAGCCGGAGCGATGATCGCCACTTTAATTGATAAATGTCACTCTCTTTGTTGCATAGCTGCTAGCTGTTTTTAACCGCGTAATTTTTAAGAATCTATGAATGTTTCGTCTCACGGAAAGGCTACTATCTATATTTTATTTGCACATGAATGATGGCCAAGATTTTTAAGCTGTATTTTATTTAATTAATGTTATTACAACCAAAAACTGAACTCTTTCACTGTTAAATTTGTACAATTTCAGACCGATTTTATTACTTTTCACAACAAATTTATTTTTCAAAATGAAATCAGCTGTCTTCTTTCTGTTTGAGTGCTGATATAAATTGATCGAATGTACCATTATTTTGCAATTCACAGCGACGATCTTAGATCTTCATTGTTAAGCCCCAAGCCGCGCTCAAATTGCGGCCTTGTCACACAGATTTTATGTCACTTACCGCACGCGCGGAAGTTAGTCCATTGAACAAAGTTCAAGACGCTCAACACTGCGGGACAAAATTTTCGACGCAATTTCCAACGCGTGATGGGTAACGCACTTCGGTTTGAAGTCTTAAACTCACTTTTTCTACATTATAATCTTACACTCTTCAGTTTCGTGAGTCTTTATAACTCTTCGCTTTCACAGTTAAAGTGTCTGCTACACTGCTCCAGATTTTCACAAACATGTAAGTCTACTTTAATATCGTACTTCTCTTTTATTCGATCGAAATGATGCTCTTACACGTTAGACTACTGAAAAACCATGTAGACAAAAACACTTTCTGATCAACTCTATAACACTCCGTACTTTGTTGCTCCCTTCGATCCGATCTTACACCCTGAATCTTCAGGAGCTGTCTGAATAATAACACAAGTCATAGGAATTGTGGACAGTACAGTGAACAGATTGGTCTCAATGTCCAAGGTGCGTTAAGTTTCAAAGATATTACAATTTAAATAGCCACACTTTGTAACGTGATGATACTTGACTAGAGTCTCAGAAATATTATTTGATCGATAAGTTGCTACTGATTACAACATTTTTATAAGTCTCCGATTCGCTTCTGATCTGTCACAATCTGACGATATTATCGTTACAGCCGAAACGGAGAGAACTGAAGATGGGACGCTCTGAATCCATTATGGTAAGTCAAGTTATGGTTAAGATGACAACTTCCCTCTTTTTAAAGTGATGATTTGACTAGAGTCTCAGATAAACCCTGATCGACAAATTGTTAACGCTCCCTCTGATTACAACTTTTCTTAATTTTTCCCCTCAAACTTAATCCGTTATTTTTACCATTTTCTCCTCAGAAGTAAACATTGAAAGACATCTACCTCTATGGCGTTATTAAAGCAGATTTCCAATCTCGAAACAGAACATTCTCGTAGCCTTAAGAAGGTATGAATATTATTAAAAGTTAACTCCTATTTTTATGAGCTACGTCGAATATGATGGTTTCAAGACGGGACTGATTTACATGATTGATATCTCACTTTGCTGATACGACATTCCAAACTAGTCCTACAATCTTGCGTTCTAGTGTAGTTTATTAAACTTATTTATCTTCAGGGTTAGACGGAGAAGAACTCTTGATTAATCTGAATCTTGGAATTACCGCGACCAGCTCCTTCTATCTTGTGTGACGGTAAGTCTTTCTTAGTCTTACAATCGAACGTTTAATACAGCTATTTACTGATGACAATGCATAGGGACATATGATTAATATGATTACCACACTATATATTTGATAGAGATATTAAATATTGTCTGAACATTGGTTTAATATCTTGTTATGAATCGTATTTTACCGATATCTTAACGCACTTTATATTTCAGATTTAACTACAATATAAGAAACACCTGGTAGTGAAGCTCTATTTTGATGGTAGGTCTAATTCCAACTTAACTCTCCCTTGCTGTGTTTTTATAACATGATGACTTTGAAGGCATTTGTTTGAAGGAATATTTGGATCCGAACCGTTTCAAGTTTTTTGAACCGTTTCAATTTCCACTTTTCTTGTATGAAATTACTTCTATCTGATTAAACTGTACAGAATATTAAAACATATTTGATTAAACTCAGCGCGACCAGCAATTTTAATATCACCTTCATTTTCAGGAGTAACATGAACAATAGCTCCAATAATATCACGGAGACTTCCCTCTCCTGAATGCTATATGATTGTAAAGGTGAGGATTATTTTTACAGCGTATCATTTGAAATGTCAGATAGAGGGGTGTCGATCTCTTCAATGGATCAATTCCTGTTTAAATTTGACTAAATAACATCAGCCTCACTAAAACATTGGACTTGTCATTTTAGCAAGTTCGATACCTGTCTCGGGGCACAGTATTATGTTACTTCCTTTTCAATTTCTGAAGAAAGTTAACCTGAATACAAGATAGGTTAACAATCTTATATTTTCAGAACCTCTCGACACTCAAAGCTGGTTACGAAGATCCGAACTGTCTAGAAGCTTTTATCTGCTACTTGATCATTGCAGCAGGTTTGTTACATATATTGTTTACTCTTTAATCCTCTAATATTTTAAAATTGTGATGAACCTTGCTACTCTTGACTGTTCGAATGACGACACTTTCTACCAAGATCGCTGAATTAAATCGACACTGCAATACTTATTCAGCCAGAAAAACCTTTTCACTGATCGAATTTACCTACAGGCGGACGGTACGACGATATCTTTCAACCGAAGTACTCTTCCTTAACTCTAACAAGGTAAGCTTGGCAACAACAACAAAAAACAAGTTTTTTGTTATGAAACTTGTCAGATAGAGGGGTGTCGATCTCTTCAATGGATCAACTCCTGTTTAAATTTGACTAAATAACATCAGCCTCACTAAAACATTGGACTTGTCATTTTAGCAAGTTCAGTACCTGTCTCGGGGCACAGTACTATATAATCACATGCTTCAGAAATAGAGTTTGTTAATAACGGGATTTTAAACCTTTAAATTTTCAGAGATACACCGGCTTTCGACTACTAATTTCGCAACTTGGAACTAGACTGATAGCTGCTGTGATAACACAACTCTCAGTTCACAACTTCGAGGTATTTACTTTCTCATTATGTAGCTTTAAGCAGTTTCCAACCTCTGATATCATGATGACAGTAGTACATCTTAATTGTCTCTGAAGACACCTGTACCACCAAGACCTGACAATTTGATAGTAATATCAAGTACACATTTTAATTCTACACTTCATAACACTCTCAATGTATTTCAGTGTTCATAAATAACCTGAACAGTTGATGTGATCACCAACTCCTCGACCTGTGCTCCAGCCACGATTTGGAATCACTTGGTAAGTTACTAAACCTTTTCATCGGTTTCTAAATTAATTCCAACACAAAATGATGAACCTTGCTACTCTTGACTGTTCGAATGACGACACATTTCTACCAAGATCGCTGAAATAATATCCACCCGTCCACACTCAGTCAGTACCCAAACATGTGCTCACCGCCTTAACTTTCAGGTGCTCCCACGCGAAGATGTTTGATACCAACGTTCCAGCCTTGGATACCGATCTAAGGTATGTTAATAAATCTACTCTATTCCAGTTTATTTTACAATTATGATGAAAAGCTGACAGTCTTAGCTGGCAACTAGGCGGCTCCAGTAAAATGGAAGAACCTACTGCCTTGATGCCAGTTTTATGGTGATACTTTGTCGGTCTTATCTGATTGTCTTGTTTCATCTTCCGAAAATATATGTTAATGATTGACGTAATTGAAAACTAACCAGTTAATTTCAGATGTCGAACTTCAAAATGGAAGGTACACGCCACACCTCTTCACAGAGTAGCTTGGTGCTGGCACACAGACATAAAACTCTGCAACCCATCACTAATCAGGTACACCCTAAGATTTTTCAATATTAAATGAATAAAATAAAAATATAATAATGATGAGATAGTCCCGCTTGCCCTCCAGCTGATTTCATTGATGAAGTGGTTCTGAATACGAATACTCATTTACTGAAATCTTGACACCTCAGTATTGTAGAATAACCAAAACTTTCACAGGCCCAATCCTCCTGCTGTCAGCTGAACGGACTGGTCCAACTCAGGTGTGTAACATTTTAATTGTTTTAAAATAATCTCCTCTTATTTTAATGATGACAATAAGGTCCGTGTTTCTGATTAAAATGAAGCCACCCTTAACCTTCCTGACAAGATTCAAATTACATTACACTTAACAGCAGTTATTCTGGATTTATAGAGAAGTAAAACTTGTTATTTTCAGAAACCTGGACATTGAAAAATTGGATTTCTTTTTCTACCTGCTACAGTGTTTGCAAATCTCTTCTACACGAGGAGTAAAAGTAAGTCTCGCAGAATAAAAAATTATCTCAGCTCCGTAATATTCTAATGATGTAAAATTTTTCCGTGTTTCTGATAAAAATGAAGCCAACCTTTAGTCTTAACATCTGATTAGATTGAAATCACATTACACAGCAGTTATCTGGATTGATAGAGAAGTAAAACTTGTTATTTTCAGGAACCTGGACATTTAAAAATTGGATTTCAATTTCTACCTGCTACAGTGTTTGCAAATATCTTCTACACGAGGAGTAAAGTAAGTCTCGCAGAGTAAAAAATTATCTCAGCTCCTTAATATTCTAATGATGTACAATTTTTCCGTGTTTCTGATAAAAATGAAGCCAACCTTTAGTCTTAACATCTGATTAGATTGAAATCACATTACACAGCAGTTATCTGGATTGATAGAGAAGTAAAACTTGTTATTTTCAGGAACCTGGACATTGAAAAATTGGATTTCTTTTTCTACTTGCTATAGTGTTTGCAAATCTCTTCTACACGAGGAGTAAAGTAAGTCTCGCAGAATAAATAGCATCTCTGTAGTTTAAAATTTAAATGATGATCACATACCCCATTCTTACCAGTCTAACTGGACGTTGCTGACTAAACAAATGTCTGATCTGATTTGACACAGAATTTTTGAATTCCCAGTCTTATTTAACGTGACTAATAGTGTTACTCTCCTTCAGCTACAACAAAAGCATCTGCTCTGATCCACGGAATAGACAATAAAACACATCTTCTCGCTGACACCAGTAATCTGGAACCTCCAAGTTATTTGGACAACAGGTACGTGGTTGACAGTAAGATTTATTATAAGTTAGTAAAATACCCTTCATTGCAACTGAGTGTTCCCTGCAGTTTCGCCGCTGTCAGGGCAGCTCGGCGGTGTTTGGTCGCGTCCCTGTGGATGAGGCCTCCGCACTGTTGCAAAACAAGAGATACTTTCCTCTAATTGAGATTAAGTGTCTCCATTGCATATTCCTTGCGTCTCGTGGAGACTCTAGTAGTCGGTTACCACGGGGATAAACCATGCAAATGACATTCCTCTTCTTTAATCTTTCTTCAAACTGATTCCTAACAACTTATCGTGTTTGAAATCCATCTTTAAATGTGTACCCTTGTTTCAGGTTCTTACCGATAGTTCAAAGCCGAAGACTTCGAAGCCTAATCAACAGGTTAGAGTTTCTTCTAATTTCATTTACTTATTTGATTTTCCAACATTCTACCAAATGATTTTACCGTGGGTACAGACATCGCAAAACATGGTGAACCTCATATTTTCTGATGGTAAAAATTCGTAGTTGTAAATTTTAACTTAATCAGATTGTTTTAACTTAATCTTTTTTATCCTTCAGGATATGGCGCAGTGTAAAATAGAAACCTAATCTGTCGAACAAATGATCACTTGTACGCACTATTGATAAGGTACGATTTCAGATATCTTAAAAATAGTTGCTGTGTGACTTGCAACCCTAGCAGTTGGAAATCTTTACTTATGATTACATCACATGCACTACCATCTGAACCAAGATGACAGATACAAACATAATATGAAGTAATATTATGTTTTGTGAGCTTCATGCTTGATCAATAACCAAATTTCTAAAGTACAAATCTTCAGGTAAACGGCCGGATTGAGAAACCTTGGAACCGCATTATTATCCCAACTTGGTAAGTTAAAGACATTTAACCTTCAATTCATGCCTGTTAATTTAATATATGATGAGATAGTCCCGCTTGCCCTCCAGCTGATTTCTTTGATGAAGTGGTTCTGATATTATTACTCATGTTCAATTGAATTTCCTGTTATGTTCCCTTTTTCAAACATAACCTATTTTGGCAGGTACTGAAGTTATTTCCAGTCCAACATGAACCGCACTGATTATCAGCCTCTAGGTCCTCGTCACTTCAAGAACCAAGATAGTAAGTTATTTCTAGAGATGATAGTTTATTGTTTGGTTATTTTAATTGAATGATTATAGCATTGGGCACAGACTTCAACTGATGACATTGTTTTAATTTATGACCATATTAATGTTACATCTTCTCTCTGTATAACGAGTCTTCCTTGTTTAACATAAAACCCTTTCAGAACCCAAGAAGGAGGTGAGATTTGACATGTCGACGTAGTATAGACACCTGTAGTGTGCCACTTGCGATAGTTGCCGAATTTAGGTAAGTTACATTTATAGTCTGGTTTCAATTTTAGACTCTGTTTGAGCAATTTAATAAATGATGAGATAGTCCCGCTTGCCCTCCAGCTGATTTCATTGATGAAGTGGTTCTGATATTTCACCCTGAATAAGTGGAATTTACTGTCCCCTTGCTTTAGTTAAACAAACTTCAATGTCACAGGTGTTCTGAGTGCAAGTCTGATTCGAACCAAGCTGATCACTGGACTTCAGCTCTACTGTACTGCCTCACAATGATGTAAGTCACTTTTGGTTTTCATTGCTGGATCGAGACTTAATCGAATGATTACAGCATTGGGCACAGACTACTTCTGATGACATTGTTTTAATTTATGACAACATTTGTGATGAATTCTTTCCTATAATTCAAAAGGTCGTCCTTTGTATAACAAAAAACCGCCTCAGAACCCGAAAAGAAGCCTGCACATAGTTCAGAGAAACACCGATATTTATTTTCTTGTGGCCTAACGATCATTACCAATACTGGCCTGGGTAAGTTAAAACTTGAGATACAAGTAATTGTAATCACAAATTTCTTATTGAATGATTATAGCATTGGGCACAGACTTCATCTGATGACATTGTTTTAATTTATGACCATATTTTTGTATTATTCTTGAATATGATTTAAGTGTCTTCTTCGTTTAACATAGCATCCTGATCAGGACCCAAAAGTGTGGCATTGAAAACCTGATGTCGATTCTTTGACTAGACTGTCGTGGTCTTCAGTACTACTTGGTGAGTTTTAATCGATGTAATATAGTCTGGGTGAAACAACCATTCTCCAGTCGTCCTGGAATTGTATAAACTGGAGATGGTCGTTGCAATCCCAAAATACTGAGTATGCTACTCATAGAATTTTCAAATGATTACATCACATGCACTACCATCTGAACCAAGATGACAGATACAACATTGTATGATTATAAACTAACTAATTATTCAGTTGTAAAAACACTGCATATCAGCTAAAATTTAATATTTTCAGAACACCAACAGAACGTCAAAGAACTGTACCTGTCCGGCACACTAATAAGGTGATTATAAAGAGTGATCGTTTTACTATTTATAATCGCCGTGAAAAAGAAGCAATGATTTGAATAATCTGCAACCACCGACACCAAAATAGAATTTCCAAATGATTACATCACATAGAGATCCATCTGAACCAAGATGACAGATACAACATTGTATGATTATAAACAAACTAATTATTTCATTGTAAAAACACTGCATATCAGCTAAAATTTAATATCTTCAGAACACCAACAGTACGTTAAAGAACTGTACCTATCCGACATTTCAGGTGATTATAAAGAGTGATTTTTAAACTATTGATGATCGCCGTGAAAAAGAAACAATGATTTAAATAATCTGCAACCACCGACAACAAAATGCGGAATAGATTTAAGTATATGAGAATGATTTAATAAATAACGTTTTCACGATGTCAACGTATTTAGTTAATAATCTACTAAAATTTCAGGAAGCACAAACAGCAAAATATTCAGCACTCAAGACAACTTAGACGACAAATCATCTTCTCTGACTGATGTCCTTCTCTTTGATAACAAGCACAAAGTGCTCTCAGAGAAACGTAGCTCAACTCTTAGAAGGACCAGGATAACCGTAAAAAGAACGTTGATGTATGAAATGCATTATGTTATGTTTAAACGAAAAGAATAGTTACAATTATTAAACTTGTTTAATTTTGTCTCATGCAATATCTTGGTCGCGTAAAAGCGGGATAATCAATATTGAAATAATACCCATTTTCAAATATAAGCACAAAATGAAGGGGCTACAGTTTAAATTTCTGCCAAAAAACTGGGAAGAAGCCTTGTTTAATTCTCTAAAAAACATATTTCTAATTTCTGACGATCCATGTTCTCACAATCTACCTTTTGGTGTCATATGCCACCTAAAGTTGACTTACTAATTGGTTGCAGGTGAGAAATTCAGTCAAAACTGTAAAATTTCGGTCCTGGAAATTTCATCTTCAAAAACTGAAAATGGGACAGAGATTTGGACAAAATGATTTTACAATTTTATTCGGGATTTTAACTTCCAGTACCCCAATATGGTTTCATACCATCATCAATTGACTGACTAATTGGTGTCTGGGAAAAAATTTCATCTTATCTGTCAAATTTGTGTTCAGAAAATTTCATATTTGAAAATGGGACAGACTTTTGAAAATACAACTTTTCGATTTGTTAAGCTTTCTGCTGTGGGCTTCTTCCGACCGAAATCAAACTTCCAGCACCTCTATCGTGTCATATGCCACCTATAGTTGACTTACTAATTGGTTGCAGGTGAGAAATTCAGTCAAAACTGTAAAATTTCGGTCCTGGAAATTTCATCTTCAAAAACTGAAAATGGGACAGAGATTTGGACAAAATGATTTTACAATTTTATTCGGGATTTTAACTTCCAGTACCCCAATATGGTTTCATACCATCATCAATTGACTGACTAATTGGTTTCTGGGAAAAAATTTCATCTTATCTGTCAAATTTGTGTTCAGAAAATTTCATATTTGAAAATGGGACAGACTTTTGAAAATACAACTTTTCGTTTTGTTAAGCTTTCTGCTGTGGGCTTCTTCCGACCGAAATCAAACTTCCAGCACCTCTATCGTGTCATATGCCACCTATAGTTGACTTACTAATTGGTTGCAGGTGAGAAATTCAGTCAAAACTGTAAAATTTCGGTCCTGGAAATTTCATCTTCAAAAACTGAAAATGGGACAGAGATTTGGACAAAATGATTTTACAATTTTATTCGGGATTTTAACTTCCAGTACCCCAATATGGTTTCATACCATCATCAATTGACTGACTAATTGGTTTCTGGGAAAAAATTTCATCTTATCTGTCAAATTTGTGTTCAGAAAATTTCATATTTGAAAATGGGACAGACTTTTGAAAATACAACTTTTCGTTTTGTTAAGCTTTCTGCTGTGGGCTTCTTCCGACCGAAATCAAACTTCCAGCACCTCTATCGTGTCATATGCCACCTATAGTTGACTTACTAATTGGTTGCAGGTGAGAAATTCAGTCAAAACTGTAAAATTTCGGTCCTGGAAATTTCATCTTCAAAAACTGAAAATGGGACAGAGATTTGGACAAAATGATTTTACAATTTTATTCGGGATTTTAACTTCCAGTACCCCAATATGGTTTCATACCATCATCAATTGACTGACTAATTGGTGTCTGGGAAAAAATTTCATCTTATCTGTCAAATTTGTGTTCAGAAAATTTCATATTTGAAAATGGGACAGACTTTTGAAAATACAACTTTTCGATTTGTTAAGCTTTCTGCTGTGGGCTTCTTCCGACCGAAATCAAACTTCCAGCACCTCTATCGTGTCATATGCCACCTATAGTTGACTTACTAATTGGTTGCAGGTGAGAAATTCAGTCAAAACTGTAAAATTTCGGTCCTGGAAATTTCATCTTCAAAAACTGAAAATGGGACAGAGATTTGGACAAAATGATTTTACAATTTTATTCGGGATTTTAACTTCCAGTACCCCAATATGGTTTCATACCATCATCAATTGACTGACTAATTGGTTTCTGGGAAAAAATTTCATCTTATCTGTCAAATTTGTGTTCAGAAAATTTCATATTTGAAAATGGGACAGACTTTTGAAAATACAACTTTTCGTTTTGTTAAGCTTTCTGCTGTGGGCTTCTTCCGACCGAAATCAAACTTCCAGCACCTCTATCGTGTCATATGCCACCTATAGTTGACTTACTAATTGGTTGCAGGTGAGAAATTCAGTCAAAACTGTAAAATTTCGGTCCTGGAAATTTCATCTTCAAAAACTGAAAATGGGACAGAGATTTGGACAAAATGATTTTACAATTTTATTCGGGATTTTAACTTCCAGTACCCCAATATGGTTTCATACCATCATCAATTGACTGACTAATTGGTTTCTGGGAAAAAATTTCATCTTATCTGTCAAATTTGTGTTCAGAAAATTTCATATTTGAAAATGGGACAGACTTTTGAAAATACAACTTTTCGTTTTGTTAAGCTTTCTGCTGTGGGCTTCTTCCGACCGAAATCAAACTTCCAGCACCTCTATCGTGTCATATGCCACCTATAGTTGACTTACTAATTGGTTGCAGGTGAGAAATTCAGTCAAAACTGTAAAATTTCGGTCCTGGAAATTTCATCTTCAAAAACTGAAAATGGGACAGAGATTTGGACAAAATGATTTTACAATTTTATTCGGGATTTTAACTTCCAGTACCCCAATATGGTTTCATACCATCATCAATTGACTGACTAATTGGTTTCTGGGAAAAAATTTCATCTTATCTGTCAAATTTGTGTTCAGAAAATTTCATATTTGAAAATGGGACAGACTTTTGAAAATACAACTTTTCGTTTTGTTAAGCTTTCTGCTGTGGGCTTCTTCCGACCGAAATCAAACTTCCAGCACCTCTATCGTGTCATATGCCACCTATAGTTGACTTACTAATTGGTTGCAGGTGAGAAATTCAGTCAAAACTGTAAAATTTCGGTCCTGGAAATTTCATCTTCAAAAACTGAAAATGGGACAGAGATTTGGACAAAATGATTTTACAATTTTATTCGGGATTTTAACTTCCAGTACCCCAATATGGTTTCATACCATCATCAATTGACTGACTAATTGGTTTCTGGGAAAAAATTTCATCTTATCTGTCAAATTTGTGTTCAGAAAATTTCATATTTGAAAATGGGACAGACTTTTGAAAATACAACTTTTCGTTTTGTTAAGCTTTCTGCTGTGGGCTTCTTCCGACCGAAATCAAACTTCCAGCACCTCTATCGTGTCATATGCCACCTATAGTTGACTTACTAATTGGTTGCAGGTGAGAAATTCAGTCAAAACTGTAAAATTTCGGTCCTGGAAATTTCATCTTCAAAAACTGAAAATGGGACAGAGATTTGGACAAAATGATTTTACAATTTTATTCGGGATTTTAACTTCCAGTACCCCAATATGGTTTCATACCATCATCAATTGACTGACTAATTGGTTTCTGGGAAAAAATTTCATCTTATCTGTCAAATTTGTGTTCAGAAAATTTCATATTTGAAAATGGGACAGACTTTTGAAAATACAACTTTTCGTTTTGTTAAGCTTTCTGCTGTGGGCTTCTTCCGACCGAAATCAAACTTCCAGCACCTCTATCGTGTCATATGCCACCTATAGTTGACTTACTAATTGGTTGCAGGTGAGAAATTCAGTCAAAACTGTAAAATTTCGGTCCTGGAAATTTCATCTTCAAAAACTGAAAATGGGACAGAGATTTGGACAAAATGATTTTACAATTTTATTCGGGATTTTAACTTCCAGTACCCCAATATGGTTTCATACCATCATCAATTGACTGACTAATTGGTTTCTGGGAAAAAATTTCATCTTATCTGTCAAATTTGTGTTCAGAAAATTTCATATTTGAAAATGGGACAGACTTTTGAAAATACAACTTTTCGTTTTGTTAAGCTTTCTGCTGTGGGCTTCTTCCGACCGAAATCAAACTTCCAGCACCTCTATCGTGTCATATGCCACCTATAGTTGACTTACTAATTGGTTGCAGGTGAGAAATTCAGTCAAAACTGTAAAATTTCGGTCCTGGAAATTTCATCTTCAAAAACTGAAAATGGGACAGAGATTTGGACAAAATGATTTTACAATTTTATTCGGGATTTTAACTTCCAGTACCCCAATATGGTTTCATACCATCATCAATTGACTGACTAATTGGTTTCTGGGAAAAAATTTCATCTTATCTGTCAAATTTGTGTTCAGAAAATTTCATATTTGAAAATGGGACAGACTTTTGAAAATACAACTTTTCGTTTTGTTAAGCTTTCTGCTGTGGGCTTCTTCCGACCGAAATCAAACTTCCAGCACCTCTATCGTGTCATATGCCACCTATAGTTGACTTACTAATTGGTTGCAGGTGAGAAATTCAGTCAAAACTGTAAAATTTCGGTCCTGGAAATTTCATCTTCAAAAACTGAAAATGGGACAGAGATTTGGACAAAATGATTTTACAATTTTATTCGGGATTTTAACTTCCAGTACCCCAATATGGTTTCATACCATCATCAATTGACTGACTAATTGGTTTCTGGGAAAAAATTTCATCTTATCTGTCAAATTTGTGTTCAGAAAATTTCATATTTGAAAATGGGACAGACTTTTGAAAATACAACTTTTCGTTTTGTTAAGCTTTCTGCTGTGGGCTTCTTCCGACCGAAATCAAACTTCCAGCACCTCTATCGTGTCATATGCCACCTATAGTTGACTTACTAATTGGTTGCAGGTGAGAAATTCAGTCAAAACTGTAAAATTTCGGTCCTGGAAATTTCATCTTCAAAAACTGAAAATGGGACAGAGATTTGGACAAAATGATTTTACAATTTTATTCGGGATTTTAACTTCCAGTACCCCAATATGGTTTCATACCATCATCAATTGACTGACTAATTGGTTTCTGGGAAAAAATTTCATCTTATCTGTCAAATTTGTGTTCAGAAAATTTCATATTTGAAAATGGGACAGACTTTTGAAAATACAACTTTTCGTTTTGTTAAGCTTTCTGCTGTGGGCTTCTTCCGACCGAAATCAAACTTCCAGCACCTCTATCGTGTCATATGCCACCTATAGTTGACTTACTAATTGGTTGCAGGTGAGAAATTCAGTCAAAACTGTAAAATTTCGGTCCTGGAAATTTCATCTTCAAAAACTGAAAATGGGACAGAGATTTGGACAAAATGATTTTACAATTTTATTCGGGATTTTAACTTCCAGTACCCCAATATGGTTTCATACCATCATCAATTGACTGACTAATTGGTTTCTGGGAAAAAATTTCATCTTATCTGTCAAATTTGTGTTCAGAAAATTTCATATTTGAAAATGGGACAGACTTTTGAAAATACAACTTTTCGTTTTGTTAAGCTTTCTGCTGTGGGCTTCTTCCGACCGAAATCAAACTTCCAGCACCTCTATCGTGTCATATGCCACCTATAGTTGACTTACTAATTGGTTGCAGGTGAGAAATTCAGTCAAAACTGTAAAATTTCGGTCCTGGAAATTTCATCTTCAAAAACTGAAAATGGGACAGAGATTTGGACAAAATGATTTTACAATTTTATTCGGGATTTTAACTTCCAGTACCCCAATATGGTTTCATACCATCATCAATTGACTGACTAATTGGTTTCTGGGAAAAAATTTCATCTTATCTGTCAAATTTGTGTTCAGAAAATTTCATATTTGAAAATGGGACAGACTTTTGAAAATACAACTTTTCGTTTTGTTAAGCTTTCTGCTGTGGGCTTCTTCCGACCGAAATCAAACTTCCAGCACCTCTATCGTGTCATATGCCACCTATAGTTGACTTACTAATTGGTTGCAGGTGAGAAATTCAGTCAAAACTGTAAAATTTCGGTCCTGGAAATTTCATCTTCAAAAACTGAAAATGGGACAGAGATTTGGACAAAATGATTTTACAATTTTATTCGGGATTTTAACTTCCAGTACCCCAATATGGTTTCATACCATCATCAATTGACTGACTAATTGGTTTCTGGGAAAAAATTTCATCTTATCTGTCAAATTTGTGTTCAGAAAATTTCATATTTGAAAATGGGACAGACTTTTGAAAATACAACTTTTCGTTTTGTTAAGCTTTCTGCTGTGGGCTTCTTCCGACCGAAATCAAACTTCCAGCACCTCTATCGTGTCATATGCCACCTATAGTTGACTTACTAATTGGTTGCAGGTGAGAAATTCAGTCAAAACTGTAAAATTTCGGTCCTGGAAATTTCATCTTCAAAAACTGAAAATGGGACAGAGATTTGGACAAAATGATTTTACAATTTTATTCGGGATTTTAACTTCCAGTACCCCAATATGGTTTCATACCATCATCAATTGACTGACTAATTGGTTTCTGGGAAAAAATTTCATCTTATCTGTCAAATTTGTGTTCAGAAAATTTCATATTTGAAAATGGGACAGACTTTTGAAAATACAACTTTTCGTTTTGTTAAGCTTTCTGCTGTGGGCTTCTTCCGACCGAAATCAAACTTCCAGCACCTCTATCGTGTCATATGCCACCTATAGTTGACTTACTAATTGGTTGCAGGTGAGAAATTCAGTCAAAACTGTAAAATTTCGGTCCTGGAAATTTCATCTTCAAAAACTGAAAATGGGACAGAGATTTGGACAAAATGATTTTACAATTTTATTCGGGATTTTAACTTCCAGTACCCCAATATGGTTTCATACCATCATCAATTGACTGACTAATTGGTTTCTGGGAAAAAATTTCATCTTATCTGTCAAATTTGTGTTCAGAAAATTTCATATTTGAAAATGGGACAGACTTTTGAAAATACAACTTTTCGTTTTGTTAAGCTTTCTGCTGTGGGCTTCTTCCGACCGAAATCAAACTTCCAGCACCTCTATCGTGTCATATGCCACCTATAGTTGACTTACTAATTGGTTGCAGGTGAGAAATTCAGTCAAAACTGTAAAATTTCGGTCCTGGAAATTTCATCTTCAAAAACTGAAAATGGGACAGAGATTTGGACAAAATGATTTTACAATTTTATTCGGGATTTTAACTTCCAGTACCCCAATATGGTTTCATACCATCATCAATTGACTGACTAATTGGTTTCTGGGAAAAAATTTCATCTTATCTGTCAAATTTGTGTTCAGAAAATTTCATATTTGAAAATGGGACAGACTTTTGAAAATACAACTTTTCGTTTTGTTAAGCTTTCTGCTGTGGGCTTCTTCCGACCGAAATCAAACTTCCAGCACCTCTATCGTGTCATATGCCACCTATAGTTGACTTACTAATTGGTTGCAGGTGAGAAATTCAGTCAAAACTGTAAAATTTCGGTCCTGGAAATTTCATCTTCAAAAACTGAAAATGGGACAGAGATTGGGACAAAATGATTTTACAATTTTATTCGGGATTTTGACTTCCAGTACCCCAATTTGGTTTCATACCATCATCAATTGACTGACTAATTGGTTTCTGGGAAAAAATTTCATCTAATCTGTCAAATTTGTGTTCAGAAAATTTCATATTTGAAAATGGGACAGACTTTTGAAAATACAACTTTTCGTTTTGTTAAGCTTTCTGCTGTGGGCTTCCTCCGACCGAAATCAAACTTCCAGCACCTCTATCGTGTCATATGCCACCTATAGTTGACTTACTAATTGGTTGCAGGTGAGAAATTCAGTCAAAACTGTAAAATTTCGGTCCTGGAAATTTCATCTTCAAAAACTGAAAATGGGACAGAGATTGGGACAATATGATTTTACAATTTTATTCGGGATTTTGACTTCCAGTACCCCAATTTGGTTTCATACCATCATCAATTGACTGACTAATTGGTTTCTGGGAAAAAATTTCATCTAATCTGTCAAATTTGTGTTCAGAAAATTTCATATTTGAAAATGGGACAGACTTTTGAAAATACAACTTTTCGTTTTGTTAAGCTTTCTGCTGTGGGCTTCCTCCGACCGAAATCAAACTTCCAGCACCTCTATCGTGTCATATGCCACCTATAGTTGACTTACTAATTGGTTGCAGGTGAGAAATTCAGTCAAAACTGTAAAATTTCGGTCCTGGAAATTTCATCTTCAAAAACTGAAAATGGAACAGAGATTGGGACAATATGATTTTACAATTTTATTCGGGATTTTGACTTCCAGTACCCCAATTTGGTTTCATACCATCATCAATTGACTGACTAATTGGTTTCTGGGAAAAAATTTCATATAATCTGTCAAATTTGTGTTCAGAAAATTTCATATTTGAAAATGGGACAGACTTTTGAAAATACAACTTTTCGTTTTGTTAAGCTTTCTGCTGTGGGCTTCTTCCGACCGAAATCAAACTTCCAGCACCTCTATCGTGTCATATGCCACCTATAGTTGACTTACTAATTAGTTGCAGGTGAGAAATTCAGTCAAAACTGTAAAATTTCGGTCCTGGAAATTTCATCTTCAAAAACTGAAAATGGGACAGAGATTGGGACAATATGATTTTACAATTTTATTCGGGATTTTGACTTCCAGTACCCCAATTTGGTTTCATACCATCATCAATTAACTGACTAATTGGTTTCTGGGCAAAAATTTCATCTACGTAATCTGTCAAATTTGTGTTCAGAAATATTGAGATATTGATTTATAATTTGGGGCTGGGACTTTGGTTGATTATGAAGATTCTCTTGAGTGTGATAACATGAGTCCTCCTTCCCCCTCTTTTATAAAATATATAAAAATAATACAGTACGATATCATTTCAAAAAACTTTAGGAAATATCAATATTTGTATTAATTACAATGGGAATATCACGATTGTTTTTACATACATTTCAAAATACAAGCATAGCGAGAAATACATTTGAAAGAAATATTTCTGATCATCCTGTACGGAAGTAAGATGGTCATTGTGCACTGGTCAGCATTCAAATATATTTTATATATTTAAATACAAAAATAACATGTAAATAACAATATCATAACATTTATTTCTGGAGGATTAAGTAAAGTGTATGATAACGTAAAAAGTTATTCACCATGTTCAAATAAATTTAAACCAATGTCGTCATCCTCCAAGAAAATAGTAAAATTTAAACGAAATCAACGAAAAATCAAATTGACATGCTTTTCACACTCATTCCTTTTCTTGTCTGAAGATGTGAAATAATTTAATTGAAATCGAGAAAAGTAGAGAGTGAAAAGATGAAAAGCCACTTAAATTTGCGGCCCACGGGTTTGTGATTGTATTTTTGTAATGAGAAATTGTTCTGCCTTAAGAAATAAGAACTGATAGGAAGGAAGGGTGATGTACCAACATTAACAGGATTGGGTTACCGGTCAATTCGTATATAGTAAGAATTTACATTTTATATCTTATCGAGTTTTTTTTCGTCGAGTATTTGAATAAGTGTTTACTTAGATGATCACTCTATTTAACACAAAAACCTGAAGAAGAATTTCGTTGGGCTTTTCTTGAATATGAATAATGAAGGATGCTTAGATGTTCCATTTCCAAATGATCATCGATGTTCATTCAATATTAAAAAAAAACCTGAAGAAGCATTTCGTTGGGCTTTTCTTGGATATGAATAATGAAGGATGCTTAGATGTTCCATTTCCAAATGATCATCGATGTTCATTCAATATTTAAAAAAATATTTTTCGTACGATAAAATTCCTTCGATATCATTAAAGTTCACCAATAGTTTGCTTTTCATAGAGTTAATATATTGTACGACAATACTGGGCCATTTCGTTTCAAGACTGGTCGTTTAACACAGTGATTGCACATTCAGATTAATAACAATGTGCAATAAGTTGAGCGTTATTTACAGATCCCAAAAAGTATTAGTTTCATGAACCCTCAGTAATAACGTCTTGAAGAACAATATTAGTTTTAGGAACTTTCTCACTCCCATCCTGTGAATAACAGGAACGAAATTTGGTTGAGACTTGAGAGTTAGGACTTCTTCATATCTGTTATTTTTATATCCATTAGATCAAAGTTTATTTTTTCAACCTTCTTTTATTCATTTCTGAGAAAAATGTTCCCATTTTAATGGCCGTACATGGAAATATGAGTGTGAAAGAAACTTCTGTGCATCTGTCATGATTACTAAATTACTGATATTTTCATTAACCAACATGAATGTCTAAGTATTGTATCTTACTTCAAATTTCCCTTAAATCAGTGCCCCATATCTTTCAGCAGAGATTCGTGGCCAACGGGATTTAATCATTTATTAATTTACAGAGGTACCTATCACCCTTCCATGGCTTGACAACAACAGAATCTGTCGCAGTAAGCAATCATATGTAATATGTATCTTATATCAGCATAACAAAACCCTCTGTCATAAACAACAGTATTTCAAGTGACCCTGCAAGGGCTGCATTCCAAAAGGAGCCCAACTTGGGCAAACATACTATTAACGAGTCAATAAGTCCGCTTGGCGGCTTCAGTCAGGATATAGTGATCTTTCTTTCCCCTTATCTCCAATTGTCAGTAGCATATTCAAGCCGAACTATTTGCTTCATAGGAGACACTCGGCCTCAGATACGGCCCAGTACTGATCATAATCTGATCAGTTCTTATCATTCAAATCTTGGTCAGTAGTAGATCCCAGCCGAACTGTCTTCTTCAAGAGATACACGAGGCATGAGGTGAATCCCACCATTTATCAGATCGTGTAGACCTCTGGATTTGGGCGGCATGAGAAGACACTCAATCTGGTAATTCCTGTCGAAGTTGCTGTCCCAAAACTCCTGATCTCCAAGAGTAGCACAAACACAGAGCTCTACACGAGCCCCGGGAGGGAGGGTACTAGGGAGAGTGAGACTGAACGAGAACTTGTCGATATCACCTGCAACCGGTGCACAATAGTTTGATACCACCTCCTGGTGGGTCAGCCAGTAATCCCGGGTATATCGCACTTTAACCGTCTTCTCGAAGCAAATGTTGTGAATGAGGATGGTGCCTGTCAGAGTGAACTTGTCAACCAGCACATTCTCCAAACCAACACGATTCCGTCTGATTGTGTCTAAATAGTTTAGACGGGAGATGGGCTGAAATTAGGTCTAGTTATAAAATAACATATGTGATGTAAATTGTACCATGTTCAACATTCAACTTTTAAATCTTGATACGAAACCAGCAGCTTTACTTCCAGAAACCGGATTTCAAATAGAAACTCATTTCCGACCAGGATCATTACATAAACCTAGCTATTTTGCTTACCTGGGCAAAGTTGAGTCTGAGGCCAGGTGATAGGGAGATAGAGGGAGAGTGTAGTGGGGTTGAAGGTCTGGATGCTAATCTGGGTCGTTGTGGCGGGGGAGCAGGCTCTAACTCCTCTACTTTCAACATCTTTACCTGTCATTATTTCAGTTAATAAACTTATAGAAACAAATTTTAAGAAATTGATCAGGAGAAGTGACCTTGATTTGAATCCTAACGATCAGAGTATTGTTTTGGAATTCTACCTGGGTAAGAGGTAAGCCCATGCTATCTGCAAATACCACAGACTTTTTCCTCCTTACGAAGGAGAGTGTAGGTCTGAAGGATTTGTCAGGCAAAGGAGCAGGCTTGATGACTCTGGGAGGGGTGACACAAATTTCTCCATCGGATGTGTTTCTGTTTTTGATGCTGTGTTCCTGAAACAAAATTTTGTTTGGAATCGCTATTTGAGCGAACGATTTAACTGTTATCCTTAAATAATATAACGAGTGCTCGGTTGATCAATTCAATTCCCTAAAGACTAAGCCAATTTCTTTATTAGCAATAATTTTATTCGGTTGTCATGACAAAGATTCCCTATTTCTAGAGAAAAAAGCCCCGAAAACTATATAATGATGACTTTTTTAATAAAAGTTTATATTTGAAATAACCTCCAGGTACATAAACCCAATATTGTAGTATGTAAACAATATACTAAACATCTCACTTCTCTTATTCGCAACCTTGGGAGAAGCCCAACAACTTTAAGCTTGGCAGACGAAGTAAACTAAACTGATCTTTGTACGAACCTGGTAAAGATCTAGGAAGAGAGAAGAAATAGGAGGGGAGGATGATATCAGGACACTCATGGGCTGAAATCAGTAGCTTAGTTAACAACTTGCAGGTGGTCACAAATCTATGTAACATAGAAAGAAAGAAAGACATTACCCAATACCCATAGTGGCAATACACTATACAGGTTGTGCAGGTAACTACTACAAGCAGTGAGGTGATAATATGCTAACATATGTTATGGAATATGGAGGATATTAAGTATAATATTAATATACGTCTGTGATCAATGATAGCACATGTTATAGTTGCTTTGTTTCATTAGCATATATAATCAGACAGCATGAACAGTTGGTCAGCGTTGTAAATTGTAAAATCACGAACGGTATGCTGAATGGCGACTAAGTGCTAAGTAGTTATCTAGAAAACTAGTACAGAACTCAGCATCATAATCAACAAGGATATGGTGGGTGAAGTTCCCTTACAATGTACAGATCGCGAAACTATAACCTGCCAAAACTCCCTCCCTACTTAGCAACCTATTAACGATAATTCCGCCAATTAACCACGTTTAGCGGGATATCTCATTACAAATAATATCTCATTAGAAATGATAACAAGTCATTGAATCTTGATATGGTTGATTCGTAGCCCTAATTTTCTCACAAGCAATCCAATTAGGAACCTCGTTTTTCAAAGTAAACACATTTTGTGTGAAGATTTACAATGTAAATATATTTTGTGCAAGGTATAACAATATCACGACTAGTTTATTGCACTCAACATGGTTGTTGGCAAATTACAAAAAGGCAATCCTCGTGCATAACTAAGTTATTACTATTAGTGAATAAAGTTAATAAATTCTTGTAAATCGAGGTTTATACCCAATTCTCACGAGGAATAAACGTCATGACTAATCTGGCGACTCTTCGGAGTCCTGGTATGTAATAACTTTATTTGTAAGAAAAGGTCACGCACAAATATACGTAGTGCCTGGAGGTCATTTTCCATTTACCACATGGAGCAAGTCATAATAGCAATTAGTCACTAGTTGTAATAGCAAACTTTATCTGTTCCAACATTAAGGAAGCACAGTAAAATTAAAATAATTCCGGTTTACTAAACAAATAAGTCTCTTAAACAAAGAAACGTGGATGAAAAACACAACTATTTTCAGTGAGGGGGCTCTTTAAAGCAATAACATTTCAGCAAGGCGTTTTCATGGCTCAGTAACTGGCGCTTTGCGACCAGACGCCGAGTGGGCATAAGGCAAAATCACTGAAGCTAATGATGCAAACTTACAGTGCAAAAAGGTTCATGACTGGACACAGTTTTTGATACCTAGTGTTTCTTGAACTGCTCTTATTAATTATGAATGAATTAACAGATTTGGAAGATATGATGAAGTGTCGCACATGAACACTGAACTAAACTCACTGAACTACCTAACATCAATTTAACTTTCAAATGATGGTTTTAAAATCATTACACTTACAAAAAACTAAAACGTTGTGTACAGATTATGGATTGTAAGAAAATTTGATGTATGAAATAAAATAATGGAATGTCATGTAATAAATCGTCTTAATAGACACAAAAATAACTATGTTTAAATGTTCGACTTCAATAGAAGCACTGAACTTGAAATGGCAACGAATAGAAGTCCAAATTATCGAAAAAATGTTGTGACCTTAATAAAAACCTTCATATATCAAATATCATTGAGCAAACTTATTTGTCATAAATTATGGTTTAAACAATTCTGGACGAAGTCAATTTACGTTCAGGTGTCCTTTGAAAATGTCCGGCTTAATTTTGCCCTTCACGCAAATTCGGATACTTTACCGTCGGCAGCAGGAAGGTGATTAGGAGTGTGGTTAAGAAGGTGGTTAGGATGAGACCGGCCAACGGATGAGCATGAAACAACTTTTATTTAAAACAACCCCAGACTCACTTATCACCGCTGCTCGCCAATAAACATGGCATAAATGTAATCACAAGCGCGTTGGTTCCCCTCTACTGTCAAGAAATTTCAAACAATATCCGTATGGTTATTATTTAGACTATCAAATGGCGAGTGGCGACGACAAACCCAGTTGCCATATGAACCATTCAACCAACCGGCCACATTCCACGTACGCACAAGCTGACAAGCTGCAAGGTCACATACGGCAAGAAAAGATGCGACAGCAAGGTCGGTAAAGTAGAGCACGGCTCTCTGTGGAAATAACGATACATTCAGCAATCTGACACATAATTCTGATAATTACTCTCTGCGTTACTTAAAGTTAAATAAATGAGCTGGGCTTGAGCGATGAATAGTGATAAGATTAAGAAAAGATAAGAACACCGGATAAACTGAATTAAGTTACATTAGTTAAATGGAATGCAAATTCTTGAGTTTGCATTTTATAAAAGGTAAAAATACGATATTAGGACAAAAGACAAAATTAGATCGTGCTTTAAACAAAATATTGCATTATAACTACGACCGCTGTAAGTGTAAATGACGGACCAGTAAGAAAACCTTCAAGAATTAATACATATTAAATGTTATTATATAGATTAAGCGACGGTTCGGTTTATTAATCAAGATAAAGCTTCCAGGGCTTAGAAGTCCGAGAGCAACGTAACCTTCAGAACTACAACATGAAATTGAAATGAGACATGCTGTTTTCTCAATCGGGACAAAGAGTAAAATGAAACCTGCGCGACAGCACGCCTCTGCGAGATATGTGGCGTGCAGAGAAATGAGTACATGGCAGTAAGTAGCACTGAGTAAGTAGCACTGAGTAAGTAGCACTTCCATTTCACGCCTATTTCACTTCAATTTGTCCGGATGTTGGGCCCTCTATTACACCACACTACACAGAAAAGAGGCTATTTGACCCTCATTAACAATGACATGTAATCTTATTAACCTGGCCTCTATAGGGTTATCCGTAATGATAGCTATCACGCCTGGAAAAGTAGGACAAGGTCAAATATCACGCCGGATAGTGGAAACGTATAACTATATATTTGTCTCATCAGTCGATTGAAAAGTTGGTTGAAACTGAAAGGTCGGTTGAAACTTGAGACGATTAGTATATAATGAAGACGGAAATGAACAATATCTGATAACATTGGTATTCAATAACTGGTGACAAACGATCTCGAGTTTGTTCTAGGTTTTCTTGAAAAAATACGAATTAGAAATCTCTATCTAGCATAATATCAAGGAAAGTTGAACAAACAGACTACGAGACTATCACGCCGGATATACACCTAGTTCCTTGTATTCGTGGCATTAACAAGGTCCTCACTAAAAATAATCTCGTAAAAATAGAAACTCGGGACATATGATTAATTTATATGCTCTCAAGTCCTATAAACCTAAAATCAAATCAAAACATTAACCCATTTGTCCAGCCTTAACCAATTCAGGTACTTGAATCCTAGAGGCTATAAGCCCATCACCTGGACCACGCAGCCATCCAATGTGTAGTGGAATCTTAAAGAAAAACCTACAAAATATCACGTACAACACAGAAATAACAAAATATCACATAAATGATCACAATATATCACATTGGAGTAAGAGGTGGGACTAAGTGCGGGTCCGGTGTTACACAGACGCGCGCCATCTGGATAACAAGGTAACTCATCACCTGGCCCAGCAGCCTTGTGGTAATAGAGTCAGCAATGGGTATTATAACCATATATGATAATACTATTTAAGGTGCTGAGGCATGCTTGGTTGCGCTCGAGCTGTCATAATAGTATCGAAGGGGTATAGGACGCAGCGGCGGAAGTCACTGCGGCGGTGTACAGTCCGGCGGAGGACGGTACAGCGGAGGTCGGTACGGCGGTAGTTTCCAAAAAGGTTGGACGGTACGGCGGATCACATGACACCAACTTTACTTTGGACAGTACGGCAGTACTACTACTAGTACTACTAGAAACTGTACCTATAAGATAGACCTAGCACTGCTAATATAACAACAACGTTGCTATGTTGTAACGCACAAATGCAATAACTATGAAAAAGCAAGGCGACACAATTTGAATCATTATATTTCAAATATAATCTTTAGATCATGTAATATTTCACAATCTGGGCTGTCAGGCTCGGGCACTAAATTTTAATTCTATGTAGTTTTGTTCGGATATTAATAATAAAACTTAGTTCGTTAAATGATAATTATTTCTTCTAGCAGTTTGACTGTGGGAAGAATTAACGAATTGACAAGAAGGAATAAATAACTAACTTAAGGAATAAATAATTAACTTATTTAATAAGAACATATAAAATGCAGCTAATAATCATTCAACTTGAAAACGGCAAGAGCAGATAAATATAATTACATGAGAAGATTGCGACTAGAATACAGACAATATCAAGTTGTACAGTTAAGAATAAAGACATTGCCCTATTAACAGTGCTTTGTGTTCACTTACGTGTATCGGTATACACATGTACGAAAAGAAAAAAGTGGTGATAGGATCTCGAGTTTGTTCTAGAATTCTATAGATAATATTCTCTAAGAATAGCTGTACAATAAAGACCGTACCAACAGTGCCATGTTATCTGTTATAACGCAAAAATTCAAGCCAATAATTAAGAAAAAACAAGGAGACACGCCTGAAATGCGGTTAGTATCACAGATTTAATCAAAGTGAACCCTTGGTAACCTGAGTCATACAAATCAAAGTTTGGTTTATTGTGCTATTTGAAAATTTACAAATTGAATTTTGAACCGTTATCTTTCAAATTTAATTTTGAAGTCATTTATTTTGAAATATTATGCTATTTAATATTTACAAATCCCACAATTTGAGCTGTTATCTTTCAAGTTCAATCCTCAAATTATGTTACATGTTAAAATGAGGAAACGTAGCAGACGTATTTCAGTGTACGCAGTGTAATTCTAGAGAAACAAGCCTTTGTTTAATAAAAATTTGCAAACTTTTAACGGAGTGAAATTTGAGCGTTATAACTTAGACCCAAAACTAAATTGAGAAAACTTTTGGCATGAATCCTTCAATTCATTTAGTAACTCTCTTTAATAATTAAAGTGGTCGTGCCGAGGAAGTCAATA